GCTTTGTAGTATAACTTGAAGTCCAAAATTGTGATGTCTCCTGTCTTTCCCTTGTTACCCAGAATTATTTTTGCTATTCTAAGTCTCTTCTGGTTCCATGTGAACTTTAGGATTGTTTTCCCTAGTTTCATGAAGAATGCTATTGGTGTTTTGATTGGGGCTGTGTAGAATCTGTATAACAGTTTTGGAAGTACAGCCATTTTTACTATATTGGTTCTGCCTATCCAGGAGCAAGGGATATCTTTCTATTTTATGATATCATTTTTACTCTTCTTCTTCAGAATACTATAGTTTTCATTGTAGAGGTCTTTTACTTCCTTGGGTAGGTTGATTCCTAAGTATTTCATTTTACTTGATGCAATTGTTAAAGTTATTGCTTCCCTAATTTCTCTCTAAGTTTATTATTGGTGTACAGAACACTACTGATCTTCTAGTTTGTATCCTGCTATGCTACTTAATTTGGTTATTAACTCTAGGAGTCTTTTGGTAGCTTTTTGGGGGCCTTCTATACAGATAATCATGTCATCCTCAAATAATTTAAATTCTTCTTTTTCAAAAAATATCCCTTTTATTTCTTTTTCTTGCCTGATTATTCTGGCTAATATTCAAGAACTATACTGAATAGCAGTGGTGATAGCAGACACCTTTGTCTTGTTCCTGGTTTTAGAGAGAAAGCTTTCAGCTTCTCTCCATTTAATATGATGTTGCCTGTTGATTTGTTACAGGTGGTTTTGGCAAAATGAAAAAAAAAACCTTTAACAAGAACAAGGGAATTTTTTTTTCCTAGCCTCTCTTTATGTGGTATATTTATTGATTTGTATATGTTGGATCATCCCCAAATTCTTGAGATGAAGCTTACTTGGTCATGGTGTGTGATATTTTTGATTTTCTGCATTTTATTGGCTAGTATCTTATCAAAGATTTTTGCATCTGTATTCATTAAAGAGATTGACCTGTAGTTCTCTTTTTGTTGGGTCCTTTTCTGGTTTTAGAATCAGGGTAATGGTAGCTTCCTGGAATGACTTTGAGAGTACTGTTCCCCTTTTGATTCCACGGAAGAGTTTGAAGAGTATTGGTGTTAGTTCTTCTCTAAAGTTCTTGTAGAATATGGCAGTGACTGTGTTGGAACCAGGGCTTTTCTTAGTAGTTTTTCAATTATTTCTTCAATTTGATTGCCTGATGTGGAATTATTCATGGTTTTCATATTTTTCATTCAGTTTTGGTACTAGTTCATATCTATCTAAGAATCTATCCATTACTTCTGAATTTTCCATTTCAAAGTAGTTACCCCAGATATTCTAGATTTCAGCAGTCTATTGTGGTTTCACCTTTTTTACTTCTAATTGCATAGTTTTGTGTCTTTTCTTTCCTTGTTCTCATAAGACTGGCTAATGGTTTGTCTATTTTTTTTTTTTTTTTTTTTTTGGTTTTTCTCCTGTACCGGGGACCGAACTCAAGACCTTGCGCTTGCCAGGCAGGCGCTTTGCCGCTGAGCTAAATCCCCAGCCCCGGTTTGTCTATTTTGTTTACTCTTTTCAAGAACCAGCTCTTCAATTCATTGATTATTTGTATTTAGTCTCAATTTCAAATATTTATGCTCTGATCTTTATAATTTCCTTTCTCACACTAGTTTTGGGTTTGGATTTGTCTGGCTTTTTAATGTCCTGAGGGGTATCAAAAGGTTATTTGAGTCTGCTCTGTTTTTAAGTTGTGGGCATTCACATCTGTAAACATCCCACCTAAAACTGCTTTCACTATGTTCCATAGGCTCGGGTATGTTGTACAGGCATTATGGTTTGATCTGAGGTACTAAGTTCTTCATTTCTTCTGGGATCCATTGATTATCAAGAGGATATTATTTAATTTCCATGTGTTTGCATAATTGTTGTGGTTTCTTTTGCCAGGTTTCTAGCTTCATTGCACTGTGATCTGATAATATGCATCAGATAGTTTTGATTCTTTTGTGTTTACTTAAGCGTGATTCAGTGGCTAGTAAAGGGTCTATTTTGGGAAAAGTCCCATGTGCGGCTAAGAATATGTATTCTGTTGTTGCTGTGGATCTCTATGAAGTCTATTCCTTCAAAGGTTTGGTTCAACTGTGATATTTTTTATTGGTTCTTTGTCTACTTGATCTATTTGTTACAGCATGATATTATAATTGTATTGCTGTTTATCTGATTTTTCATGTCTCATAGTATTTGTCTTGAATTAGGTGCACCTGAGTTTGATTCATAAATGTTTATAATTATCTCTACCTATTTATTTCCTTAACCAATAGATAGTAAACTTTGCCTCCTCTGACCAGTTTTGGCCTTAAATCCACTTTACCTGAAAATAAGTTATTGATTCCTGCTCATTTTCATTCTCCCATTGGATGGAATGTTGTTTTCCATCCTTTGAATTTTAATCTATGAATTTCTTTAGAATAGGTTTTTTATATATAGCATACTGTTGGGTTTTTGTTTCTTTTTCATCCAATCTGTGTCTTTTGATCAGGGAATTGAAGCGATTAACAGTGTGAGACATTAACGAGGTGGAATTCCTAACATTACGCTCTCATCCTGATTCATTTTAGATTATTGTTCCTGGTATCATTTAGCAGCTGCTGGATCTTTTTTTCATGGTCTTCTGTTGTTTTTAAGGTATCTCTGAGCGTAAGGTCACCTACATCAGCCCTATCTTCTAGTTTTGACACATTCTCCTCACATTGGTTACTTCTGCTGCGCATACTTTCAGTAGAATTTTTTATCTCCTGCATTTTTGTTTGGTTTCTTTTCATGGACTCTAAAACTTTCCTAAACTGCTCATTCATATTTCATATCGTTTGGCTCCGCTAGCCAAACACTATCAGTGTCTTCTGTAAGTTCATGTTTTCTCTCTGCCAAGGAGGTTGGTTATGCAGGCAAGGATGAATGTTTGTTACCTAGGCTGCTGAGATGTTCTTTCTGAGACCTATTAGGCTATGTACCCCTCAGAGAGAACAAATGTGAGATACTTACCTTTGTCTTTACATTGCACATCTGGGGGCCATCCTGAATGGTTTGTGGCTTGAGTTGATTGTAATGCCTTTCAGCTGCTTTGCTTATCAGTATGAGTTAAGATGGAACACAGATTCTTCTACCCAAATTAATCCAGTGTAGGTCTGACATTGGTCACTGCAGTGCATTACACTCTCCAGCACCTACGGTGATGCTTACTTTGTGGTACAGGAAATACCAAGTGTGTCGCTGCTATCTGCTTTAGAAAAGGTAGATGTGACCTCAGCACACACTCCACTTACTATGACTGATGTTCTCAGACTTAGCTCCTGCACGTAATCATGTGTGGCCACTTGTTTCATTGACTTCCACCTGTGGCACCCCAAGTTGCTGGTCCTAAAGGGGAAGCAACCTTTCTGCCCTTACATGTCAGAGATCAGTTTACCATCGGATAAAGTTCTCAACTGTTTTCTTTCAGATAATCTCCCCCAATGCCAAACTGGTTGTCAAGGCAAAACCTTGTTTGTTCACTATATCAATATATCAATATTTGCTGTGGATTCCTGAAGACAGGAAAATGCAGGAAATTTCACTGAGTAGTAAGCTCAAAAACTTCTCAAAATGGCCATTACTGTACTGCAAATATATGTGAAAAATAGAGAAAACTTTCCCAGTGCCAGTATGCTATGTAGATCCCAGATCTATCTGTTCAGACTGCACTTCTGCATGACGCTGAATATTGAGCTAGCTATGCTCTCTGGGTTATTTCCCTCTTTCACATCTACCCCTGCACTCTGCTGCACTGTCATGCAACAGGCACTGGAGCACTCTGCCTTACTCTATTCCAATCCAAGTCTCAACTTTTCTTCTAAGTTTCTATGTGTTCACAATTGAACTAGAGCGTTTTTCTCCTATTACAAAGAGTAGCTGTTCTCAGATGTCTTGACTCTATATCTAGAGGCAGATGAGTGCTGGGTACATCTAATCCACCATCCTGCCCTCTCCTGAGGCAGTTTTTGTTGACAAATCTTCAAGTTCATTGATTCAGGTGGGGATGCAGTTTGATCAGGCCAGTCAACTGATATATCTATAAAAGACCTTCCTCTCTGTCACAGTGCTTTCGATATATACCATTTCCTTTTTAATCTTCCTTAGTTTTTAACTGCATTGCCCATGTTTTTTGTGAATTTTTATTACTGCAGTTCAGTACATAATTGATTACATTCATCATAAGGAGCAGGTATGTGCACATAACACACTTTAGTTCTTTTTACTTCCCCTGCCCCTCTTTGCCCATATGTTCTCACATACTACTTTTTACATTAGATCCCTTAATATACTTTATATTCCTTATCAAGTATTCCAAAATCTGTCATATCTAAAAATGATTCTAATATTACCATTTTTTATGATGCTTCATAACTTTTTGAAGTTGGGTCTGATGTACTTAAATGAATGTGTATGAACTGAGGTAGTCAGCTATTCATGTGAAGTTTATGTCAACTTCACAAGAAGTCAGTTTTGTTTGATGTCTGTTTAGCTATAGGTATCAGAGGCTTCAATTGCTTCTATTACTCTGCCTTTCATCTGCCCTACTGTCTTTGGGTTTCCCTAGATACTTCTACTAAACTGGGGTCTGTTTTTATAGTTCTCCCAGTTATAATCCACTAGAGCCATGTTTATATGCTATCATTGTATGACTAAATTTCAGTATGTTCTATAAGCATGAACTCCTGGGTTATCACTTTCAAAGGTATTCCATACCCTTTTTCTATTCCTTTTAAAAGATAAAGATTAGAGGGTCCTTAAATTATCTAACTTCCCTTCCCCAGATCAGATAAGGCTCTACCACACTGATGACAAATCTTTTAGAGACCCAGTACCCAAATTGCAACCCAAAACCCACTTACTTATCCCAAAGTGCTGACACTGCAATTAAGCCTGAATACCAAGGTTTTAGTTTAGAAAAAAAGAACTCTTACATTAACATCTTTTGTCTCAAAAGGAAAACACAGAAACAGCTTTCAATGATACAAACAGCTTTTTATTGAAAGGTAAAAGCTTGGATTTGGCATGTTTTTCCACAATTAATGTGATCTTTGCTGTTGTATGCATGCTGATAATTTGTCAAACCTGGGCTCATACTTCGTTAGTTTGAGAGCAACACATGCAGCACTCACATCATCTGTCTGTTTTCTTGTATCAGATTTGATGTAATTCAAAGCTGAAAACAGCTGCTCACAAGCATAAGATGATCCAAACAAAGTAAGAAAAGCAATCCCAAGTGCTTTCATTGACTTAAAATTATTTGGCAGAGAATTCCACACTTTAAGGATTTCATTTTCAGGACTACCAACTGTTCTATCCTTTGTCATCCCTTCACACGCTAATGTCTCTATCTTCTCAAGTGTTGCACGCAGGTCAAAGAATTTATTTTTCCAGATAGAACTTTCTTGAAATTCCAGTAGCTCCATTTCCAGATTTCCAAAATCTAACCAGTGTAAGCAGGAAAGATCAAGTTCTTCAAATTTGGCTTTATCTGGAGAAGTAAGAAAACACAGAGTTGTCTCCATCTTATGGAACTGTAAAAATCTGTTACTAATATTTGCCTTTGCAGCTGCTACAAGGCTAGAAAATTCCTTATAGATTTCCTGATGGCTCGTAGGATGGTCTGAAAATGTAGTATTGTCTAAATGTATTTTTAGATTTGGAAAGTATTTCAGCTGCCCACTTTCAAGGTCTCTCTCAAAAACCTGCAGTTTTTTCTCAAATGTTTTGATATCATAAAACATCCTTTCTGCTGTTTTCCCTATACTTTGTAGTTTTTTGTTCAGTACATTGAAATGTAGTGTAAAATCTGTAAAAAACATTAAGTTATTAAGCCAGGCCATATCAGTGAGCTGTGGATAGTCCTGCCCTTTTTCATTCATAAACAGCCTAATTTCATCCAAACAGGCTACAAATCTCTCCAGGACTCGTCCTCTGCTCAGCCATTGGACTTTATTGTACATAAGTAAAGCATTATACTGTGTCTGAACCTCATCAAGCAGTGCTTGAAACTGTCGAAAATTACGAGCACGAGCCATGATGTAATTCACCATTTTTGTGACATCTCTGAGGATATCATCTAATTTTTTGCTGCCTTCCCTGGCACAAAGAGCTTCTTGATGTATAATACAATGAAACTGAATGACTGGATGTTTTGTTTCTTTAACAAAGAACTGTACGAAACCAGATGTTGCCCCTATCATGTGAGGTGCCCCATCACTAGTAACTGAAACCACTTTTTCTGGTCTTATGTCTTGTGACAAAAAAGTCTCCATCACAGCATTGTAGATATCTATCCCTTCTGTTCTTCCAGGCAAAGACACCAGTTTCACCAGCTCTTCTCTCATGATGTCACCAACTGCATAACGCAAAATTACCGCTAGCTTTGCATGGTTATTTATATCTGTGCTTTCATACAAGCACATGGAGTAACAGGCTGCCTTTTGTAAGTCAGTGGTGAGTTGCTGGCTAACATCACCTGCCATGCGCAGGACTCGATCTTTAACAGTGTTTCTGCTAAGTGGCATCTCAGAAATACGTTGCATAATTTTATCCTTGTTTGGAAAATCATGAAAAAGGGAATCACTCCCAGATAACATGGCCATTTTGACAAAATCCCCATCAGAGAGGGGCTTACCATGTTTTACTATACACAGTGAAATTTGAAAGCTGGCAGCTGTCAGATGATTTGACTTAGAAAGATGGTTGCAAAAACTAAGATACTGGGAATGACATTTCCTCAATTTTCCTTCTAGAAACTCTTTCCTTTCAGTTTCACCAAGTTCAGCAACACTTTTGTGGTTGGTGTCAAAGTGCCGTCTCACACTTGATGTGCGACACACAACACTTTCACTACACAGAATACATAACGCTTTCCCATTGCGTTCAATCACTCCAAATGACTCTGTCCAGGCCTGTTGGAATGATCTTCCACTATCTGGTTTCAGTTTTGCTTTTTTTGCTGCAGTCATTTCAGGTTCAAGACTTGGAGTCTACAAAAATACAAAATTAAAAAAAAAGAAATGAAGCACCCAATACAAATCTATCCCTATACCAAAAATTGCTATCACTGTTAGTTAACACCAAAGAAATTGGATATTCCCTGAATCAATCATCTGCGGCAGTGATTCTCAGCTTGGAGCTCTTCTTGAATTTACTGACCACAGGCACAAGAGGGCAATGTTTCACTGACCACCAGCTTTTGGCCTGCTCTGAAAAAGGCATCTGAGTGCATTTCCTACCTTGCTGAAGATTCTGCTAAAATCATAGTCGAAGCAAATATATATATCCTTGTTCTTGTTTTCATAAATTCTTAACAAATAAATACGATACTGCAGATTCAAATATGTCAGGAGGACAGCACAATATTAAAAGAATTTCAGTCTCTTAATTAGATGACCTATTTGGTTTTTTGTTTTGCTTTGTCTTTTTGAGACAGGGTCTCACTTTTGAGACAGGTCTCACCCTGTCTTTTTGAGACAGGGTGCAATTCAGGCTGGTCTTCAGTTTACTTTGTAGCCCAGGCTGGTCTTGAACTCTCAATGATCCTCCTGCCTTAGCCTCCTCAGTGCTGGGATTACAGGCATGCATCACCACGCCCAGCAGAAGATCTCTTTGTTAAATCTTAGATATTAAATTTCAATGCTAAAACCTTTTTTTTTTTTTTTTTTTTAGACAGGGTGTCATTATGTAGTGCAGGCTGGCCTTGACCTTGCTTATGTACCCTAAGTTGGCCTCAAACTCACCACAATCCTCCTCCCTCAGCCTCCTGAGTGGTGGGAATATAGGCATGTACCACCACATCTGACTCAAACCTAAAATCCCGTTAATAAAAACAAATGCATTAAAATTCATAGCCAGTCCAAGCAAGAGTATCTATATATATATATATATATATACCTCCTTGGCAGCATGCTGACCAGCCATGCAAAAGCTCAAATGAGTCATGGCTGAGTCACTGCTTGTGACATTATTACCTGATATGCTCCTTCCTGAGCATGCACATAGACCCTATGTGCAGTTATCTGATGCTTGATTGCTGGTACCACTTGGCTTGGTGCTGACAGAGAGGGCTTTGCATGCCCATAGAAGCATACATGCCCGAGGTTTACCACCATTGCCCTGGTGGCTTTTCTCTTGAGAGAAGGGCTTTGAATAGTGTATCAAAACCATTACTTTTTCACTGGGCATATTTTAAAATGGTTACCTTTCCTACCCATGCACAAACCAACAGGGAATTTCCTCAATTCTCCCCAATCATTTCTATGAGATTCTGGTAGTTTCTGGGGGGAAATCTGTAGGGGTTCTCTCAAGGGAATCTATACTTGACCTCCAGAAACTCATCAGTGATCATTTTAAGTGTTCCCACTAGTAAATGCCTCAGGAAGAAGTTGTTCCTGGTAAGGTGCTCTCAACTTTGATTTTCAAGATTTGCCTCTCCAGTTTTACAGTTGCTATTTGCCCTGTGACCTCAATCACCTGTTAAAATTTTTAAATGATACTGATGTTCACTTTGCTCAGCTTTCCTTTTATGAAGACAGCTTAATAAATTCTAAGCTGTCAAAACTGAAACTAGAAGTGTCGAGTTGTATAAAAACTAGGAATATAAGCTCATACAAGTTGAAACTATTTAGAATTTTCATTGCATTAAGAATATAAAGGGGGGGGGCTGGGGATTTAGCTCAGCGGCAAAAGCGCCTGCCTGGCAAGCGCAAGGTCGTGAGTTCGGTTCCCGGTACCGGAGAAAAACCAAAGAAAAAGAATATAAAGGGTTAGGGGCTGGGGATTTAGCTCAGCAGCACAGTGCCTGCCCGGCAAGCGCAAGGTCATGAGTTCGATCCGCGGTACTGGAAAAAAAAAAAAAAAAAAAAGAATATAAAGGGTCCTGGAATCAAAATGTTGAAGAATCACTGTGCAAAGCCACACTGTTAGCAATAATACTACAATCTATCTATTATGTTACAGTAAACTGCTCTTTGAAAAAGTGCATGCATCACCACACCCAGCAGAAGATCTCTTTGTTAAATCTTAGATATCAAATTTCAATGCTAAAATCTTTTTTTTTTTTTTAGACAGGGTGTCATTATGCAGTGCAGGCTGGCCTTGAACTTGCTTATGTAGCCTAGGTTGACCTCAAACTCACCACAATCCTCCTCCCTCAGCCTCCTGAGTGGTGGGAATGTAGGCATGTACCACCACATCTGACTCAAACCTAAAATCCTGTGTTAATAAAAACATCAATTATATCCTTTATCCTTAAATTTTAAAAACCCCATAATATAAATACCATAATATAATACCGTAATATAAATCATAACAAGAGTAATTTAGTACATTAAAATGAGGTAGGGTTAGGAACACAGCTCATGGTACAGTGCTTGCCTAGCATGCAAAAGCCCTTGGGTTCCATCACTAGGACTACAAACTAAATAAAGTTGAGGTCACCTAAACACAGCACAATTATCCCATGACTGAAAATAAGACTGACTTTACTACTTTCTCCTTTTCATACTCCTCTTAACATTATGAATGAGTCCAAAATAACATCTATCATTATTCATATCAATTCCATTCAACAAAACTGTTCTCAACACATGACAAACATGAAATCAGTAATTTTGACAACTGTTTCAGATGAGTGGGAAAACAAAATGAGATGAATAGAGTACTGAGAATTATCTGACAAAGTCCTAGACCAAAGAAGAATTACATGTAAGGGTAACACACAGACATTAGCAAATACATAGTAAAAAGGAGGCCTGTGTTCGGTATTACATGATAAATTTTTTTCCTGCTGTCCAAAAGAAAGGCCATTCTACCTAAAAGGAAAAACATATGTGAAATTGGAGGGAACCAGAGGGCAGGAAGGAGGCAGGGTAAAAGAGCTATATATGCCATGTTAAGGAATAAAGGTGGTGGTAATTCAGCCAAGAGCATCAGGCACCAGAAAGATCAGAGGGCACATAAAAGATAAAATGGAGGACATGAGGCTGAAAGGTTAATAACTAGTAACCATTCAGATGAAACTGGTGATTCAAAATACTGAGAAGTTAGCCAGGCATAGTGAGACAACTTGTAATTCCAGCACTTGGGAGGCAGAGAATTGACGCGAGTATAAGGCCAGCCCGGGGTTGAGTAGTGAGTTCCAGGTCAGCCTGAACTACATAGTGAAACCCTATCTCAACAAAACAAAATAAGCCAGGCATAGTGGCACATGCCTGTACTGGCAGCACTCAGGAGGCTGAGGCAGGAGGATTGCCAAGAGTTCAAGGCCAGCCTGGGATACATAGTGAGCTTCAGGCCAGCCTGAACTAAACAGCAAGATTCTGACTCAAAAAAAGAAACAAAAAACAAAACAATGAGAAATGCAGGAAGGCAAGAAAGTTTTTCTTTAAAAACTGAAATGAGACATAATTTATTGAACATATAAAATAAAACAAAGGGGAGACTACACCAGTCTTTAAATTTTCTGACGTGTCTTTCAACTTTCTTTAAGGAAGTACATTAAAGAATCTAGCTAATACAGACCTTGTTCATGAAGCTGAAAACTGGTAATTCTGAGACTGTTTTTGTTTGGACAGTCCAGATAGGGTAACATGGATCGAAGACTACATGTGATAACAAGGATCCGAATATGTAGAACAGAAATACTGCTGTACCAAACTTGCAATGAGTCTGCAACACCAATCTTTGCAATCATTAAAACTAAGGCTTTTACAATAAAAACGTTTAGCTTTCTGTATTGTGTGCATATCCCATCTTTGGTGCTGTTTCACTCCTAGTAAATCCATCAGAAACTCTGCATGAGTGATTACCTGTAGAAACTACAGTCACAATTTTCATGGTATGACCCACACATAAATAGAAGCAACCACACATTCCATTATCATCAAGTACATATGGTAACTCATGAAAACTTACATACAAAGACTGAATTATTTTCCATTTAATCATGAACCCAGAATACCAAGTAAGGAGGAAAAAAAATAAAATAAAATAAAAGAAGGTCCTGGAAAAGAAATTCTAGTTTTGTAAAGAGTACTATAAACACAAGCGTGACACCCCAAATTTAAAAAACACTGACCTCCCAATATCCTTCGAACCTACTCTGCAGTTTTTGAAAATGTGAGGTTTAAAGAAAGGTGTGAAAAGATGCAATCTACCTTCTGACTACACACAGTAACTGTAAAATTCATTCTCAATCTCAAATTTCTGCGCGCACACCCTCTGGATCTCCAGGACCTTCAGACTTCGGTCTTTGAGAGTGCCCCAGGCTAGCTACCCCGGCTCCTGCGACCAGAAGCAAGGAGGTCCGACCCGACCTCGGCTGCTACTGAGCTGAAATGCGAAGGCTGCCTTGGCCCAACACCGCCCAGAAATCCCCTTCAAACCCCAACCTCCCACCCTCCATCTCAACTACCCTCTACTGTCAGAATAGGAGGAACAAAAAATAACCAGAGTCGACCGCCCGTCCCCTCCTCTCACGTCTACAAAGGCCCGGAAGCGCCTCATGCACCGCGGAGGAGGGGGCTGCCGTCCACTCTTGAGATCACCAGGTCAGGGGTGGTCCTGCAGATGTCAGAGCGAGCACACTACACCTACCCGACTACAGACTCTCTTCATTGGACCCACCCTGTTCAAGAGCCCAGCAACGGCCCTCCAAGAACCAGCTCTTGCTCCACACTCAACGTCCCAAACTGACCCCCTACAGGCGCTCAGCCCACTGCGCCTGCGCGTCTTGGTGGCGCAGTCAGTGCGCATGCTCCACACTCTATGCCCCAGCCCTCGGGTCCTGGACTCCTTTCTTGAAGTCACGTTAGCTGGTGTGCGCATGCGTATCTCTGCTTGTCTTGTGTGTCTCCCCAAGGAAACCTAAATCCTGCAAGGGAGGTTCCGGTCTTGGCGTGGGCTGGAGGTGGCAGAATGGAGACCCAGACTGAGGACCCGAGACTGACCCGCTGCCCGCCGCCAGCCTTTTTGTGGGATGCCGCCAACAAGCCGCGAACCCAGAGCCTCCTAACCCGAACTGGGCTCGGCGCCCAGAATTTCGACCGGGAGGAGCTTCTGGCGCCGCCTGCTCCGGAGTGCACCGTGCGGGAGGGGACTGGGGTGCTGAGCTCGGTGACAACTGCGCTCCTGGGGAGCCGTGATGGGGGACGGGCCGCTAGGGGACAGGGTCCCCGGAACGAAGCGGGGCAGAGAGATGGAGATTTTTTTTTTTCAGTTCTTTACAAATTCTAGACACTACTCTCCTGTCAGAGGAGTAGCTAACCAAAAGTTTTCCTATTTAGTAGGTCGTCTCTTTTTATTCTATTGGTTGTTTCTTTTGCTGTGCAGATGCTTTTTAATTTGATACAATCCTCTTTGTTGATTCTTGATACTATTTCTTGTGCAATTGGAGTTCTGTGTAGAAAGTCCTTTCCTGTGCCTATGCCTTCAAGAGTTTTATCTATTTTTTTTCTTCTAGCAGATTGTTTCTGTTGTAATATTTATGTCTTTGATCCATTTTTATTTCATTTTGGTGCATGGTGATATATAGGGGTCTAGGTTCATTCTTCTGCATGTATATAACCAGTTATTACAAATATTCTCTTAAGAAAATTCTTATATTCTCTTGAGAAAATTTTACCTCCAAATTTTAGGCTAGAAAAATCACTGAAAAAGAAACAATACATGACATTTTAGATTTCTGATACATATATTGAGAATCAAATACAAATTTAAGGTGTCTATGAACTTTTCCTCAACACAACAAATTATGAAAGAAAAATCTAAAATATGCCTAATTCTGACAAAGAAGCAGAGGAACTAGACCTCTCATACATTATTAGTAAGATTGTAAAATGGACAGCCAATCTGTAAAACAGTTTGTCTGTTTCTTAGAAAACTAGACGTACACCATGTAAGGCAGCAGTCATACTAGTGGGCATTTATCTCAGAGAAATGAAACTTACATCAACACAAAAATCTGTATATGTTTGTAATAGCCAGTAACTGGAAAGAACCCAAATGTCCGGTGCTAGCTGAATGTTTAAACAAAGTGTAATACATCCATACTATGAAATTCTACTCATTTGGAGAAAAAGAGTGAACTGTTGATTTATGCAGCAACTTGGGGTAAAAACTCAAAAGACATTATACTATATGATTCGTTGTATAAAACAGTCTCAAAATATTGAATATATAGGGCTGGAGAATAAATTTGTGGTTGCTAAGGATTAAAGGTAATATGGTAAAAAGGGGTAGAGTGATTATAAAATTACAAAGGAGATGTTTGTGGTGAAGGACTAGTTGTGCATTGTGGTTGTGATGATGGGTACATGAATCTACACATGAAAATATGGCATAGTGATCTGTATTTTACTTTTTGGCTTTGTTACCTACAGTCAACAGCAGTATAAAAAATACTACATGAAAAATTCATAAGGTTTCAGTTGTCTGAAATCTCATGCCATCCCTCTCTTTTTTGCCCAAGACAGGAATCATGTATTTGTCCATCATAGCCACAGTGTATCCTCTTCCCATCCGTTGGTCACTCTGAGTTACCAGAAGTTATTATTAGATGGGCTGTTGTTATGGTTTGAATCTGGATGTTCTCCTAAAACCTCAAGTACTCGTATGTGGGGAGTTCCGAAGGTGGTGGATTAGGGTGTGTGAATGTGGAGTAAGGTGTGTAGATGATGGAAGCCCCATTCTGGGTGTGAGTGGCACCAATCAATAGGCTAGGAGCCTGGCTGGAATGTAAAGAGACAGAAAGTAGGCAGGCCTGCTGCTGTTGCTTTGCTGCCTCCTGCCTGCTCTACTATGGACTGTTTCTCCTCCGTGATACCCCTCTGCCATGCCTCCCTGCTTGGGAGCCAGCCAACTATGGACTGAAATCTCTATAAACTGTGAGCCAAAATAACTCCTTTAACTTGTGGGTGTCAGGTATTTTGTCTCAGCAGAGAGAAAAGTGACTAAGACAGACTGTCTCAGAATCAGTGGTTATATTCAAATAACCCTTAATTCACTTAATAACAGCTCCTAAGCATAAGACTAATGATGCTGGCAGCTTGGACATGCCAAAGTCAAGCCACTAAATGCTTCCTTTAAGTGAACAGGTAAAAACTCTTAAGGAAAAAAGAATCATGCTGAGGTCAGTAAGACCTACAGTACAATTAGATATTTTGGAAGAGACCACATTCACAAAATTTTTATCATAGTATATTGTTATGATGTTCTATTTTATTATTAGTTATTGTTTTAAATCTCTTACTTCCTTGATTTATAAATTAAACTTCATTGTAGATATGTATTCTAGGAAAAAATAGTATACATATAGGGTTTGTTATTATACAGTTCATTATATCTGAAATTTTAGGCATCCACTGAAGTTTCATAGAACATATAGTTCCTATCCCGCAGATAAGGAGGGCTACTATGTGCACATTATATTGATGTCCATCTCCTGATTATGTTGTTGTATCATTGTTATATAAGATGTAACCATTAAGACCATAGTGAAGAGTACACAGGAACTCTCTGCTCAGTTTTTGAACCTTTTTGAGAATCGATAATACAGGTTTTAAAAACATTTTCTTAAATTATTACCCAGTTTGTCATTTCCTAGAATGGTAGTTCTTAAATTTTTCCATCTCAGGATTTCTTTATAATCTTAAAAATGAACAATGGATTCAAAGACCATTTTTTTACTTAGGCTACATTAAAATATTTATTTAAATTAGTAATACTAACTTTCATATAGACATAAATGGTACCTTTTATTAAAGACAGTTGTGAGGCAAATGCATTTTTTTTTTTTGAGACAGGGTCTTTCTTTATTTTAAAAATAAAAGGAGGAAAACATTAACAGACAGACAACCTTTTACAAAATAGCAAGAGAACAGTACAAACAATACAGAGTAAAGTGAGACAGGGTCTTGCTATGTAGTTTAGGCTGGCCTTGAACTTGCTTATGTAGCCCAGGCTGGCCTGGAACCCTCGGCAATCCTCCTATCTCAGCCATCCTCCTATCTCAGCCATCCTCCTGTCTCAGCCTCCCAAGTACTGAGATTACAGGTGTGCACCACCATGCCAGCATTATTTTAAATTTATAAAAATCCATATTAACTTTCTAATGTCTACTTCTGCATTATAATCATATAATACATTATAGCTTTTTAAAAACACACTAGAAGCATTCAGAACAAATTCAGTTAATCTCTAAAAAATTTTTTTACCCTAAACCTATCATCTTAGCAAATTCTATTACTCATCGGATCTATGACTGACAGGTTATGTAACCTCTGGAAAATACCACTATATGTTCATAACAGAATGAAGATGAGAAGGACAAATAACATTTTGGTGTTACTATAAAAATATGTTGACCTCATGGAGTCCCTAAAAGGGTCTCGTAGTGGTGTTCGGACCATGCTCTGACAATCATTGCCCCAGAGTACAATGTGAACTTCTAGAAAGTGATGTAGCTCTCTTTATTTTTTTAAAATCTGTAATTTGCCTACCCCCGTTAAATTCTTTTTTTTTTTTTCCTTTGGTTTTTCTCCAGTACCGGAAACCGAACTCACGACCTTGTGCTTGCCAGGCAGGCGCTTTGCTAAATCCCCAGCCCCCTACCCCCATTAAATTCTTAAAGCATTTTCTTTTTAGGTTAGCAAAGAACTTTTCAGTACTTCAGTAAATTGTATGAAAGAAAGAAAAACTTCAAATTGTAGAGTTTATTGAAAAACTACTTTAAGATAATACATGTTGCCTTAAAAGACATTGAACAAATCAGTTTTTATTTGGCATTCAAAATCAGAACCCTTTCTAATGGCTTCCTCTGAAGGGTTCTTCTTCAGTTTAATTTTACTTCAGTGTTACACTTTTTTAAAAAAAAAAGTATATTGGGCATTCAGGACTCTTGCCACTTCTTGAATATGTATTTTTGAACCTGGAAATATGTCATAAGGTGACAGAGTACAGTTGTGGAGATAAATTTTAGCAATATATGTTGGCTGCTTGTTCCACAGCTTGTTTTTATTATAATATTGAGGAGAACTGATGTATCTTTAAATTTAAGTATTAGAATGGAAGAGTCTATTTGCTCCTAGTTGGGAAAGATTCTTTTAAAAACTATGGACCTGATGGAAAAAAAAACTTATGGACTACATTGGCCAGCAAATATATAAACTCCAGGAGTGCATAAGTTACAAGATTGTTTTTTCAGTGGATTTACTACAAAATTCACAACTTCCCACCCATTGGGACACCTCTAATGCATGAGAAGTCTAGAGAAGGACTTTTCAAATGGAGAAAGATAAGCTCTCGACATATGCATTATCCTATAAATAGTATATATTTATTACAAAGCTAAAACCTAAAAATATTTATGAAAAGCAAGTAATGTCTTTTGAAAGGTCATCATTTTATATAAAGTGACCTCTGCTCATTTTGACTGTCTTTGTTTTTTTGGTTTTTTTTTTTTTGGTTTCGGTTTTTCTCCGGTATCGGGAACCGAACTCATGACCTTGCACTTGCCAGGCAGGCGCTTTGCCGCTGAGCTAAATCCCCAGCCCCCTGTCTTTGTTATTGTAAAGCCAGTGCTGTACACTGAGTTAATGTGTTACACTCATAAGTTGTTTTTGTGTGCAATGTTTTTTGCTTTTACATAAATTTATGTAGTTTTTATTAAGTGTATAAAATGTTTAAGGATTTCTAATACTGTTCATTAGTTTTATTGTATTGTCTGACTGAAGTACTGCTTTAATTTATACAAAGACCTTATTTCATGGTTATAGGGTATAAAAAGAATTCTTAGAGTATTTGGTATTTTTTCTGATTGCTACTTCTTAGTGCTTTAACCTGGAAGCTTTAATTTTAGATCACCAGTTTCTATTTTATATTGTTTATTTCAGATTTTAATGTAGATATGATCCCTTATTTGGACCATTAAAAGTTTATGTTCTGTCACATTGTTGCAGTAGATAGAAAAATCAAAATTGGCCCATTCTTTGCTAGAATTATTACTTTGGATTTAGAGCATTTGATGTAAAATGGGAGAAATCGTCTTGTTTTACCTCAGAAACCCCAGAACATACAAAGAGGTCTCCTTTTCTGGCCTGCCACAAGGCCTTCTTTCCAAGCCTTTCCTGGTAGATATCAAATGTGATATGCTAAGAATCTACACTGAGTGATTAAAGTGTACATATCAAGGAAGTTAGTTGCATTTCTCTCTGGCAGACGTGATATTTGTACTCTTGTATATGCGTTGAAGGGTGATATATTTGCAGGTAAAAGTAAATGCATCCACTCTGGAAACTACTTGTCTAGAGTAAATGAAATGTTTTCATCTAATATTTGTTCAAGATGTTTATTTTTATAAAAAGGAATGTTTTATGATGTTAATACTTTGTGAATTTAGTTCTGTAATATGAGAACTAATTTATGTAATATTTGTTCAGTTATGAATAAAGTTCTCCTTAACTGGACATGTTTTTCCAAGGGTAGACAGGAAAGAACAGTCCACACCATCTTGTCTGCACCTGGAATCTCCCACTTAATTCTACTATTGTGGGAAAAATTGAATCAACAGGAGCTCAAGAGAAGAAAGAAATTTTATTGACATTAGTGGATCTCAGAGGAGTAATCTCCAAAGTCTGAGGTGAGGTTTACAGAAAATTTTTCTTCTTACAAGTTGGCAAACAGAAGTTCCGCAGACCAGATAAGCTTTTGTTGAAGGCCGTGGTACCATGGGTATCTTGTGGTGAGCATAGTTGTGTGTAGCAAAGTTGTTTTAGCACATTCACAGATGTTTCAGTTTGATGACAAATCATATGATTTAGCTGAGTTCAGTGGCAGAGAACAGAATGACTGCAACTTTATTAAATAAAATGGCTGCAGTTAGGTCAGGATTTCTGCTTCACTATGGTAAATCTGTTGACAATTTCCTTGAAATCATGCAAACCTGACTAAATCAGGTATGTTCTTAAACTTTCATTTCTGTAACCCTTTTACCTATGAAGTATAAAAATCAGCCAATGTCATTGAATATGTGCTTAAAGCCTAATAAATGGCTCCATATTATTTCATTGTATGACTGAAGCATTACATCTAGCCAGTCTTCTATAACTGAACATTTAACTCCAAAGGTGTTTTTAGCCTCCACATTTTTTCATTTATTTTTACAATTGAAATCGGAAACCTACTTTTAATTAGGAAATGAAAATGTTAAAGACTTAGAATTAAGTGATTCACAATAGTATTTATAGCCAGGCGTGGTGGTTACAAGATCCTATAATCCCAGCATTCAGGAGGCTGAAGCAGGAGGATTTCTACAAGTTTCAAGACAGTTTGGATTACATAGTGAGTTTGGGGCCACTCTGAACTACATAGTGAGACCCTATCTCAAAAAAAAAGTATATCCCTTGTGAGTTAAAATATACCTGCACATGGAACAGAATTCGGTGCAAGGAGCCAGTGTCCTACTGGTTGATGTCATAACAGCCTGTGTCATCAGTGTTGGAGCTGGTAGATTCTAGTTCTGGCGGAACACTGCTCATCCAAACACAAACTCTTTAACCACAGACCATAATTATTCCTAACAAAGAAGGTCGGATTCTCTTCCTCAGAGTACAGGTTTGAGAAATTCCTGACAAAATATCCAGTACCCTAAAAGTACCCAAAATATCAAGTACCCTAAAAGTTTTTCTTATTTCTTTCCACAGTAGTTCTTAATCCAGCTCTGGATGGTTTAACAGTAGTAAGTATACTTGGCTAACAGTTTATTCTCTCCTGGCTCACTGCTCCACAATTTTACTATGTAAATGGAACAAATTGCTTATTCCAGACAAATCTGATTTTCTGGGAAGGTGCATTTAGGAGGAAGACCTGTGGTCTACAGAAAGACAGAATGAGGGACAAGAAGCTCCTGGAGATGCTGGTTCCTGGTCTGTGCAGACCACTTCCCAACTCAGCCAGGACAAGGGGTTGCCTAGAAGCTTCCAGAATCCCCTTTACCCTGAAATGGCCTGATCCAGTTGTCAGTGGGAGAACTGAAAACTTTTTTCCCTAAAATATTTAACAAAGTAGTTTTGCATTCTTTGTATTGTCTAACAGTTACATTTTGAAAAAAGTCCTTATTCCCGTAAAATATTTTTAAACCTACTGTACACTTAGGGGTCAGTTCTGACTGTGAGCATGTACCTAGTTAAAGAGGTGCAGGTGTTAGGAGTAAAACCAGTAGCTCCAATGTAAGCCCATTTATTATTTAAGGACATATCTCTGCCTGTGAAAGAAAGATTCTTTCTACTGACCTGGTCTCCTCTCTGGATTTTGTATCTCAGTCCATTTTCATACAGAAATAAACCTCTTTACCCATCTTGGGCCAGCTTAGGGATCTCTGAAAGCAAAGAATCTGCCCATGGTTGTGGAGAAGGGTTGTGAGGTTAGGGGAAGCCACCTTCACTGCCTACCTGTACCTCTCTGCCTAGGTATAAAAGATGTTTGACCTCGATACAAAGACTATAATCTACATTGGTGGCAGCTTACTGATCGTTGCAGTTATACTGATTGCTGTTGCCACTAGTCTTTTCTTCAAAGTCACCAAAGTGCTGAAGTGAGTCGTGGGGACAAGAGTGAACAATGCTTCCTCAAATGGGAGACCTGGTGCTCTGCTTGAGCAGGGTCATTCCTTATTACTGGGGCTACACTGTGGTTGAGGTCAAGAACCACAGGCGGGTTTGAAAAGGCGAAGACAGGTGGGTACAGAATCTTGGGGTTTGTTTCCTTCTGGCTCGAGGCTCTGACCTGGGAAGTAGAATATTTTCTACTTGAGGCTGTGTGTGTCAGCACCACTTTGGTGGCACTTGACCTCACTGGGTTTACCATTAGATATTTATTAGTCCCTTGGCAGAATTTCGCCTAGTCCCAGGTGCTAGAGACAGGACAATCCCAGGGGATGCTATGGGAATGAGCTTGGGACGGGCCACACTGACCTCCTCTTGTCCAACTTAGGAGCTCCCAAGCCTCTTCCCACATTCATACCTCGTGGCCTTAGGGACAGTGAGGTGGGCCTATAGGACAAAGGCCCTATAGAAGACAGCTTACAAGGAAAAGTAGGTCAGGCAAGTTTGGAGAGAGGATCCTTAAGTATGGGAGAAACTAGCTCTCAGCCTCCATGGTGTCCCCATTGTAAGGAATTACATAGTAGGGCCCCTTCCCCCTTATTCCTACAGCAACCATGTGGGTGATCCCTACTTGCAATTCATCCCCCGCCCCTTTTGCAACCTGAGTTTACATGTACAGCAGTTGTAGGAGAGAAAGTGATGAGAGAGGAACTCAGCATAGGAGCAGAAGACCTTTAATCCAGGACTGGTGTCACGTGTGTGGTTGGCTGCAGCCCTGAACTTCCCAGAGAGCCCTGACAATTGTGAAAAAAAAAAAAAAAAAAAGCCACTGGAAAGAAAACTTGCAAGCTCATGCCTTGTGTATGTCTTTTCTTAAGAGCAGCAAAAGTACTTCATTGTGAAGCCATCAACACCAAGGACAAGGTCATCCTGGCTGGAGCCTCCACGACTGAGTATCGTCCCACTGTTTCGCCCTGTGATGAATGTAAAATGTATGCAGATCCCTTGCCACCTTGCTTTTGTGAGATAAATGAGGGATTCTAATGTGGGATTGGTGGACACAAAAGTCTTCATAAGCGATATTTCTTAGTAGAATGTTTTGTTACTCAAGTCACGTTCTACGCCATTTATAGTCTTGTGTCCTCTCACATGACATTTATGTATTTTTGATTACATTGCAATAATGAAAATAATCCTTTCTACCTCTAGTTGTTATGCCTTTTATTTAAATTTTTTGCAGTACCAGACTGGGACTTATGGCAACTAGTTTGTAATATAATATTGCAATAGAAGCATGGGAGGGTATAAAATAAACAGTTTAACAAGAGGGGATATTGTTGTGATAGATCCATGAGATAAAAAATAAAAAGCACTTGAGCCAAGCATTGTGCTGCATGCCTGTGATCCCAGCTACTCAGGAGGTTGAGGCAGGAAGCCTGCAAATATGAGACCCTCAACTTAGCAAGACATTGGACAACTTAGCAAGACCATGTCTCAAAATAAAAACAGTTGGGGATATAGCTCAGTCTAGCATGTGTGAGATCCTGAGTTTAATCTCCAACACACACACATACACACACACAGCATAAGTTTAGACAGGCTTTCTAGCAGTCTGGGCAGAAACGTGCTATCTCTTAATGAGATGAACTTTCCCCTGGTGCTAAATACTGCTTGCATTTTATTTCATGGAGCCCTCTCTCTGAGACACTTTAAGAAATACATTCCTTTTGGGTTCTACAAAGATTCAGATATGGGCTGAGTACTAGGGCTCACAGTGACAGCAAAACTTTTAGAGCTTTCGAATGTACAAACAGCCCACTGCTGTGGCATGCATGCCATAGGTTCACCACCACTAGCTCATAGGCTTACATAGTTGGGGATTTGGGCTGATTTTATCACCAGAGATTCAATTAATTAAGCAAGCATCTGGGGTGTTTGCAATGACCTGACCCAGGTGTTAGTCTCAGAATAGACACCTAACAAAATAACAAACTTGGGTTTAAGTTCTTGTGCATGTTTACAGACAGAAGGCCAGCTTCTGTAATGGGGACTGACTGCATCACAAAATTCAGCTCACACATCCTGAACCCAAGTGTAACCCCTGCCTTCCTCTGTTGGACCTCCAGATGCCATCATGCTCAACACTGAATAGTCCTGAAGGATGGATTACCAGATGTCTTTATTATCTAGAATGCAGACCAAAAACCACAACAACAACACAAGCATTCCTTTTCTAAGTTGCCTGCGACTGAATTTCCTTGCAGTCCTTCCAACTGAGAGCCAGTGTGGGGCACTAGGATGCAGGACAAGAGAACATTTGCAAGGACTCTCTGAAGGTTGGGTGGGGAAGGACAGGGCCAAGCACTGGTTTCTACCCTGTGCCAGCTTGCTGAGGGAACATAGACACTGCTGATCTCTAAGCTTAGTTTCCCTTCTCAGAGTTGTGAGCCACTCAATGTGGCAACTTAGAAAAATCCTCTCCAACACATTGGATGGGATCAAGGTCAGCAGCTGGATGTGGACGATTAATGAGCAAGGTTAAGATATTCTGAATAGTAAGTGAAAGAATATACTTCAAGATTTATTCCTGTGTTTGAATTGAGGGGACTGGGTGGAAAATCTCATCAAAATAACAAAATTCATATTACAGGCATTAAATAAAATTTATAGGAAGCCCTTGCTTTGGTTTGAGCTCCTGTACGAAATCCCAGGAGACCAGACCAAACCACAATGGAGTCACTTAATACTAAGTCCCACATAATCTAATTGAACTTTAAAATGGGCTAATTTTCAAAACATTAGATTCACAGCAGTCAGGAGAGGCCCAGTTTACATAATAACAATAATAAGGAAATCCTCTGTTTTCACTCTATATTAAATAACTTTGAAGAAACCAACCCAGTTTTTATTCCTTATTTCTGTTTTCTTGACTCTTTTCTGTGAATAAAACCAATATCCTCTGCTCATCCTCAGTGGATTCATGAATTGCTAATAAAAGACAATTTGCTCTTTGAACTAAATTTGCTGTGTGTTTTTACATGGGGTTACAACCAGGCAGGTGGTACACATCTATAATGCCAGCACTCTGGGAGGCTGAGTCATGAGGCTCACAAGCTTGAGCACAGCCTGGACAATTTAGTGACTTACCAAGACCCTGTCTCAAAATAAAATATTTTTAAAAGGGCTGAGTATGTAGTGCAGTGTAAATGCCCTCACTTCCATTACCAGTACTGCAAAACAAACAACACGGGGTCACTTCCCAGGACACCAGTGGATTCCAGGTCTTCCTCATTCCAAAGATAAGATACAGTTTCTGGGCTGGGGATTTAGCTCAGGGGCACAGCACCTGCCTGGCAAGCGGGACATGGTGAGTTCGATTCCTGGTTGGGGTGGGGGTGGGGGGATGACAAAAAACAAACAAAAAGATACAGTTTCTGCCTTTGGGCACTCCAAACACCTTGTAAAGACTACACCTTCAAAGCCTTCTCCCCACCCGCTCCCAACCACAGCGCAGTTACGTCACCCCAGCACGGTAGGCCCAGGACAGAGATGGGCATTTCTCAAGGGAGGATGCCCTTGCCACACATCATGCGGGTAAATTTCATTTATCCTGGACTTGTAAATGTCATACCAATAAAAAAAATAGATATATAAGTTTAAAAGGAGAAACAAAATCACTTGTAGCAGTACGGTAAGGAGCCCGGAGCTGGTGCTCAAAGGTCTTTGTTCTTAGCCTGTTATATGGCAAAAAAGACCCTCCCCTCTGCAGTTTGTTACAACTTGACTGGCTGTTTCAGTTTCTGAGACTCTTGATTTTGCCAGTGACCCTTTTCCTTACTCATGTGCAAATTCTCTGTCTCTGTTTCTGTCTGTCTCTGTCTGTCTCTCTGTCTCTCCCTCCCTACCTCCCCCTGCTCTCTCTGGTGTGAAAATTCTTGGGTAAGCTCATTTAGCCCCTCTTTGCCCTGCCAAGGTGCTATCTCTAAAATTTATGATAGGTCTTCCATACAAGGCTGAGTTAGCTGTTAGTAAAGGGATACATACACATTTTAGTGCGGTAACATGGTGAGAGAATATATACATATATGTATGTGCGTATATATGTGCAGATGTGAGTATATATTTTATATATTGAGTTTCCTGTAATATAGCCCCTTCCCTACTTTGTGTCCTTTGTACTTAACTGGAGATACAGAGGAGTGAACTGGAGCCTTGGCACCAAGTGGAGCCAAGCTGCTTATCAGTTCTGCCAGCTTCTCTTCATTGCTCTCTCTAGTGAAGTTTTAGCCCTTTCTAGCTAGGATTTGTCAGAAATCTCACTAAGGCCCTTATGTTTCCCTGCCTGCCCCCAACTTTCCCTACATGTTCAGGCTGGCTCTTTTCACATTCACTCAGGTCATATCCTATAACTTAGACCCGGGTTATCTGGGTAGAATATGAGAATCACTGTGGGACTTGGTGGTCTCTCGGTGGTCCCCGGGAGAAAACTGCAAGAGGATTTAGAAAATAAAGACAAGAGACAATAGCCAGGGTCAGGTGGAAGTTACCTCTTACCTGACAAGCAAGAGGACTGACTTCAACACTAGGGGTGTTTATTTATACTCTTGTGAAGTTCCTATTGGGAGAGATAATGTTGCCTAGCAACTAATGACTGTAATTGTCCACGCAGGATGCTTTTTTCAATACTGAGGCAGCTTGACTGCCTAAGGCACTCTGGTTCGGTCTTGCCCTCATAGATATGACCAATATCCAGCTCCAGTGGCTCCCAACAAATCACTTACAAACTAAAGCATTTTAGTAATGTGAAAAGCAGACCAAAACATCCAGTTCATTCACACCAGAGTTTGTTTCCTTGAGCACCTCCTGGTATAAAATAATGAGTTCAGCAAGTGAAGGCAGAGACAGGACTTGGTTCCTGAGGTTAAACTGAGTAAGGAGTCAGGAGGCAAATTCATAGCTGCAAACCCCCCAAGCCAAACAAGGTCCAGGTTTCAACAGAGGGATAAGCCAAAGACAGAGCAGAAGGAGTGTAATCACTGTAGGGAAAAGACAGGTGTACACAGGAGGGGATTCTCTGGGGAGAAGGCATTTGAGTCCCTCTCATAGGGTCCGCAGAGGAGGTGAACAGGGACCCCCGGGGGGCCTAAAGAATTAGAGGTGAGAATACTGGGGCAGGCAATGGGCCACGAGGCTGAAGCTCAGTCAGCCTGAGATGGGGGCAGCCTTGAAGACCATGCTGAAGAAGGTGGCCTTCATCCTTCATATCCTGGGGAACTCCAGCTGGCAGCTTGTGGCCTAGGGGACCCCACTAAATCCAGGAGAGATCCCAAGACTCCCTCATCTAACTGCCTGAAGCTCTTGAACCAGTTAGTACTGCTTGAATATGAATCCAGATCCTACTTTGGCTTAATCTGATGAGAGGAATTTAATTTTTTTGTTTGTTTGTTTTGTTTTTTGTTTTTTGTTTTTTTCCGGTACCGGGAACTGAACTCACGACCTTGTGCTTGCCAGGCAGGCGCTTTTGCTGCTGAGCTAAATCCCCAGCCCTAATTTAATTTTTCTAAGGCTATTTTCTGTGTCATCAAATAAGATTATTACCCCATGGTTGTTTTCAGGAATCAGTGGGATGTTGAAGAAGTAAGGTGGCAATTCATAAATAAATAAAAAAGAATGCATTTCTCTTAAAAGAATAGTTATGTTCAGCACTGTAATAAATACCTGAAAGAATCAACTTGTGAATAGGAAAGTTTTATTTTTGGCGCACAGTTCTGGAGGTTTCGGTTCATGATTGACCTACTGCTTTGTGGCTATGGCACCACCACATAGTGGAAGATGTGACAGAGCAGAACTGCTCACTCACAGCCAGGTATAAAAAGAGAGGAAGAGGAATGTGCTAGGGTTCCACTATCCCCTTAAAAGTGCCTCCAGTGACCGGAAGACCTCTCACTAGGCCCTACGCCTTAAAGGTGTCATCACAGCCCAGTAGTCCCATGAGCTGGGGACCACACCTTTAACACATGGGCTTCTGGGAAATAGTTCAGATCCAAGCTATGGCAGGTGCCATATGTTGTTACCTCCCCACTGCAGTCTAAGAGCCACTGTGGCTCCACACCCCAGTCTGGCTCTGATTTTGTTCTCAATTCCTGCAAGAGCGTTTACTCCCTCACTGCAAAGTCTTCCTCACCAGTCCCCCCTCTATACTTGAGTG